TGTACACTTTCAACCAAAATATCCACCAAACCCATAACTGGAATCCGACACCCAATCCAGCATTATCATTATCATTATCATTATCATTAATAATAATAATAATTATTATTATTATTATTGTTATTATTATTATTATTATTATTATTAATTAATAATAATAATATTAATAATAATGTTACATATTGGATCACCACCAATATTCCAAATACCAGTACTGGATGGGTGCATCCATAGTGGATCTACTGTGTTTTTCAGTGTCATCTAAAGCAGCCTGTCACCATAACAGCTAAAATAAAGCCAGCCTCGGTAGAGTCGGCTCAAGTGAAGCCCGGCTGCTCCAGTCCCAAGCTGAACACAGAGCACAGAGCAACAGAGTTAGAGTTAAAGAACATAGAGCACAGAATACAGAGCAGCGTTACAGAGCAGAGAGTTACAGAGCAGAGAGTTACAGAGCAGAGAGTTACAGAGCAGAGAGTTACAGAGCAGAGAGTTACAGAGCAGAGAGTTACAGAGCAGAGAGTTACAGAGCAGAGAGTTACAGAGCAGAGAGTTACAGAGCAGAGCTGTTTGTGCTGCAGCAGATCTGTGCGAAACTGCCTTTTCCTTTAAAGGGACAGTCCAGAATTTTGGACATGGTACCTCATTTCCTCGTGAGCGAGAGTGTTGGAGACGTATGGAGACACTTTTTGAAATATTCCATCCAGTCCTTGTATTTGCAGAGGTCGCTGGTGCTAGACTAGTGCATGTCAATGGTCATAGTTATTCTGAGACTAAAAACAGTCTTACCCACTCCACAAAACACCCGAAGCAAATCTATTATTACACCAGACTGTCCATGTGAATGTCTGTATCGATAGAACAATGTTTGAAATAAAACCAACCTTGCATCACATGAATCACTGCATGTTGAGGGACTTTCTCAGCAGCAGCAGAATTTTACTTTGCCGGTAAGATAGGTGCTCGGTGATATCAGTTCGCCGCTGACGAGCTTTCTATCAGGGAATACAACTCACTGCTGCTGCTCAGACAGAAATCCTTCAAATGCAAGGTTTTTACTTCTAAAAATTATTCTATCAATGCAGACATTCACATGGACAGTCTGGTGTAATAACAGATTTTCTTTGGGTGTTTTGTGGAGTGGGTAAGACTGTTTTTAGTGGCAGGATAACTATGACCATTGACATGCACTAGCCCAGCACCAGCGCCCTCTGCAAATACAAGGACTGGATGGAATATTTCAAAAAGTATCTCCACACATCTCCAACACTCTGGCTAATTAGGAAATGAGGTCCTATGTCCAGAATTCTGGACTGTCCCTTTAAGAGACACAGGAAAAAAGCACCAAAATGTTTCTGATAGAGCAGTTACAAAACTGAACTTCAAACCACAGGTGGGAAGAGGAGCCAAACATTTCACATTACTTCATAGTAATATTCCTCATGTAGAAGTACAAATTAGTGGGCCAAGAATTTATTCAAGCAAGAGTAAAAAGTATTTAGGAAAAGTACTACTCAAATATGGTAACAATTTAAAGAGATGTAACATGTAATTTAAACATGTGAAAAATGTTTTAGTTTTTTTTTTTCTGTTGTATTTATTTTAAAAATGTATTCCTTGTGTTACACTGTCTAACAATTTGCTCAAATAAAATAAATGAAATGAATGAAATTTATGAATTGTAGTGACTCTAATGTGAAAGACAAAACATTAAAAATAGCACAAATCTGTTATCTGGACACAAAAATGAGACAAACTAAATCATCTCTGAAGGAGCTGCAAGAAACACAGATGTTCAAATCATTCCATATTGTCCATAAAGCTTTGGTCACTTGTAAGAAGAATCATAACTTTTATTCAAGTAAGAATACTGTTACTTCATGAAAAATATTACCCAAGTAGAAGTAAAAGCATGCTGCTAGAAATGTACTCTAAAAAGTAAAATCTGTTTTAAAAGTTAACAGAACTTTGCTCAAAACCAAATCACGACCTATCTCCACCCACGGCTCTGAAAATATTAGATAAAAAAACAAACATATCTGACTTCAGGTAAAAACAACAAAAACAAGTCAAAAATCTTCTCATCAGTACCGTGAAATGCTACTATAAGGACTCAGCTCCGTTAAGGAAGTGGTTTCTGTTATCAAGTCATCTGAAATCAATATTGCGAATTACAATGATAAAAATGTAAAATTATCTATAAATATTTGTGCTGCAAGATTCATCACAACTGGACACAATCAGCAAATTACAAAGACTGCTATTTTTGACGCATCATAATTTCCACAAACAAAATCTCCTGTCTTATTGTGCAGAAAAGCTGCTAACCCTGTCGTTTAGATCTGCACATACATGTTCTGAAAAGCGATTCTTGTATTAGTTTGTCAGTTCAGATTTCAGTCTTTTTGCCAGTTCTCCTGGACAAGTTTAAAATGGGAACTTAGAAGAGAATCTGTTATTAAAAGTCCAGTGAGGTTTGAGTGAGACGTCTACACAGTGGACTGGACAGACCCCTGCGGAGGTGTAACCATTAACCCTGTGGTCAGTGGGTTGCATCGGGCCTGTACATGCGTTAACAGTTTTATGGGTCTAAGGTGTAGGCCTGTCAAGACTAATCGATACTAAAACTATTACTGAAACTAGATACTTACTTCCGCAGGTATTGATACTAAAAGGGGGGACCAAAGCAAGAGTACAGGAGTACAGCAGGGGGACTGGAGCAGGCCTGGAGCAGGCGGACTGGAGCAGGCCTGGAGCAGGCCTGAAGCAGGGGGACTGAAGCAGGCCTGGAGCCGGCAGACATTTTGTGCCTGTGTGACCTTTGGCACACAGACCCTTCGGCGGGGCCTGTGTGACCCCTCTCTCCTCACTTTGTGTGGATGACTGATAGCAGCAGCACACAAAGCAGAGGGGGGGCGGAGAGCTCAAGTCCACTCAGGTCCAAAGAAAAGGACCAGCATTTGTGCCCATGGTTCTATTTTAAAACTCTGCTACAATGAGAGGTACCAGAGGCTAAGCCAACAAGACAGTACTGCATCAAAAAACTAACTATTCACCTAAACAACAACAGAGACTTGGGCCAACACACAAGAGTTTCCATTCAACAGGACTTCTTTGAGGCAAGACACTAGTGTAACACTGGCTGGGAACTTTTTATACTGCTCCCTTCCTTTATACTGCTCCCCAAAACTATCAAAGTAAAATCGGATACTAATCAAAAACAGTATCGTAAATAGAGCACACAAACCTTGCATATTTATTTTTTCTCTCAAACAGAAATCAGCCCACCTTGTGATGTCATGTGATAATACAGGAAGTGCAGCACTGTTTTTAAACTCCATACACCTTCACTAAAATCATCTGGATAATTTCAGTCCTGAAGTTGATCATCTCTACTGAACAAAAGGAGCTTTTAACTTCAAAATGACCGTGTCTTGACATCACAAGGTGGAACAGAGCATCCTGAGCTTTTAGATGTAGACAGCCTAATAAACCAGGATTACTCACGTAATGTGTGTGAATGAAACAAAACACAGCTCCAGGTCTGTTTTTGATGAGGCATTCTAACATGGCTTAAAGCTCACAAGAATCCACCACATTGTGTCATAAAGCTTTAATGATGTCCAGCCCTACTAACATTTGACTTTAGGTTTAATCCTGCTCTGAGAATTGTACCATATCATTTATTTTGTTGTAATGTTTTTCTATAAGTGATTGAGCAGCTGTGACGTCACGTGAAGCACTCTCCCTTCTGCATTAGTCTGCCCAAACAAGGCCCTGCCCTCCTGGTGCTACAGGCCAGTGGACATCCTGAACTGTGCCCAGGCTCTCCACCCCTCCCTCACCTGTCAGAGGTACGTCAGGGTGAACACACCTGTCAAAGGCACGTCAGGGTAAAAGCACCTGACAGCATCGCACTTCAGCTGCAGGGCAGGAACAGGAAGTCTTTGGTAATGGCATTAGACTGTCAGCAAATCATGACAAACAAGTAGGACTACACTCAAACTGCCTTTTACGAAGCACTCCTCAGAGGTGGGAGAATAGAACCCACAAGTAGGCCTGTCACAATAACATATATTGAAGCAAGATAAAATGCTACAGGGAAATACTGCGCTAAACAATAATACTGAACCTTCTTTATGCCACTGACACGAAGCAGGACAATGCATAGTATAAATGCCTATATTTTTTAAATATACTATATCATTAAAAGCCATGAGCTGCAAAAACAGCAGAATGAAATAATAATTAGCCACTTTATTTATTCAAAACCTCATAGCTCAAATCTGACCTTATTACATCAAAATTGCAATCTCTCCACTATTGCAAAGAAACTGGACACATGATAAATACTGATCCCCAAAAAGCTACAGTTTAGGTTAGTTCCAGCTGTCATATATTGAACGATAAGTCAGTAGTATTTATAGTGACATGTCAAATAGGAGGAGTATAATGAACCTCCCTGACAATACAGAGTGGTTAATATCACATCCTGAGGCAGTCCAGCTCATGTGTATTTGTACTCAGCACCTTTTGCTTTAGTTTAGTCTCTGTGAGCAGCTCCTCTCACACCACAGCATTACTCAGCTACTGCGGCTTTATGATCCAAGAACTTTGTCCAGGCAGAGATAACACTGATAAAAACCGAACCAGGCCGAGCCAGACCGTATGTGTCAACTACACCTTTATAATGCAGAGGGCCCGGCTCTAACAGCAAGAGGTCAGAGTCTCTCTGGAACAATGGACAAGTGTTGAGGACCTACTGTATGAACCTGCACGTATACATGCACATGTATGGACCTGCAGTACACACACGTATAGACCTCCAGTACACACACAAATAGACCTCCACACACACACGTATAGACCTCCACACACACACGTATAGACCTCCACACACACACGTATAGACCTCCACACACACACGTATAGACCTCCACACACACACGTACAGACCTCCACACACACACACGCAGCTGCAGAAGGACACATGAGGCGCTTACCTGTCCTGTCGAGTTTTCAATGACTTGCACCAGTGGGGGCCTTGTTGACATGTTGAATGAGTTTGGAGTTCCAAAGAGAGAAATGAACAGGGAAACACACTCTCCTCAGTCTCTGGAGCACATTTAAAAGCTTGTGGATGAATCCTCCAGCGGATGTCCCGTGCTAGCCCGCTAGCAGAATCAACAGGTAGACTGTGATCTACGGCGAACCCGCATCAGCGGCTAGCCTGTGGCCGGCTAGCGACACTAGCTAGCAGCGAGTCCACGTCCCATGTTTGTCCGCACAGAGAACACTAAAAACACGTCTGCAGCTCTGAGGGACCGTGTGGGACAGGCCCGGCTCCTCTGGGCATGTAGTACCGTCACAGTGAGCTCTGAGCCCGGGGAGGTGAGCTCGGCCTTAGCCGCTGCGCTAGCTCCAGGAAAAGTTGGGCAGTGTTAATGGCTCTTTTCACCAGACACGGCTCAATCAGGCTAGCATGCTAACAAGTGAGGGAGCTAACCCCGTCCCAACACCACGGACACGGACAAATGTTACGAACAAACACACTGCTGCCTCCAAGAACTCTCTTTACGTGGAAGTTTGTCGGATTCGGCCCAGAAATTGCATTTTGATCGTAAAGCAGCTCGGATCCAAACTTTTCAGGCCAAACTTGTTCCCGGTCAGCGCTCGACCTTCCAAATCCCACTGAACAATCCACAGACAGAACCCGGAGTTGTGTCCACAGCGAGTCCCGAGAGCCCACGGACCAGCGCTACTGCTCCGATCTCACTTTAGTTGGAAGTTGTATCCCGGTGGTAATTAGCCCGTGTGGCTAAACACGGTGCTGCTCCGAGCTGCGTACCGCCTGTGTGTGTCTGAGTGTGTGTGTGTGTGTGTGTGTGCCTGTGTGTGTGGCCACAGCAGGAACTACCACAGCCAACCTCCCACTGGATCCACGGAGCACCGGCTCTCCCTCTGTGTGGCTCTGTGCGCCTCTGGCGTTCCCGTGTGGCGTGCCCGTGTGGCGTGCCTGGAATAAGGTCGTTCACAGTGCTGCACTGCAGTGTGGCGGAGAACCAGTCCGTCCTGTCGGTACACCGATCGCCGTTATGTCCGTGCCTCGACGACACCGGGGACATTCAGGGGCTCGTAAACTCCATTATCGCGAGGTGCGTGTCCTGGTGACCGAGCCTGTGGCGGAGAGGGGCGAGGAGCTGCGCCCGATTACAGCCTATGCGCACGATCCTGATACCGGAACAGGCTCACGGCAACATGGCTGCTGCACCACGACTGAGAGACTGAGGAGGGGTTCGGCTGCGCTCGGCTCTACTCGGCTCTACTCGGCCCCCTCCGAGTCCTGACTGCTCAGCGCCATTCTTCAGGTTGGCGAAGGCAGGTGCAGCGCAGGTCCGCATCAGACAAACCCACATCATGTGCAAACAGAGGTTTGCGCATCAGGTGCGGACACCGCTCCGCCACTTTCTGTGCGCAGTCAACTTCTGCGGTAGACGTGCACACTGACGTGTCATCCATGTTTGGTTATGTTACTGAATAACGGCCCTCACTACAGACCCCAGACCCTCACTACTGACCCCAGACCCTCACTACTGACCCCAGACCCTCACTACTGACCCCAGACCCTCACTACTGACCCCAGACCCTCACTACAGCAGACACTCTTAGGCCTGTCACAATAACACATTTCGAAGCACAATATATCGCTACAGATATAATGTACTGTACATACGGCCATCATTTTGAACCTACTTTATGCCACTGACACAGTAACAATGAAGTAAGATTCCAGTACACTATTAGGCCTATTTAAATAGAATCATTGAAAGGTCTAAATGAGAAATGAATAACAAAATGAACCAGTAATTAGCCATAGAAGTGACTCATTCAACTTTCTACAGCTCAGATCTTATCGCATTACAACTAAAATCACAACAATATCAACACTAATGCAAAGAAAATGTACACACTAAAACATTGAGCTCCAAAATGTAGGTTAGTTGTTCCATGTGCTGAACAATATATAGCTGTAGTGGCCTGAATATCAAGACAGACCCAGACTTTCCGGTGTGCTGCTGTGAAATTCAAATACATCTTTACCAACCCCATTTTTGCCCAGACTTCATTGCTAAGGAAGCTCTAGTGCTCATGTGTCTCCACCGGCAGGCCGTGTTAGTGCACTGCAGTTTCACAGAGTGCTCCAAGAGAAAACACCTCAGTGCAGGAGAAACTGTTACCCACATAGAAACATCCTTATTACTGGGAACAGTGAAAATGGTACAGAGGAGGACAGTGAGAATAAAGGGTGTGGTTTGTGTGTGGATGTGGATAGAACTCAGCATGGAACTCACAGTGTGGGCACAACAGGACAGTGGCACTGTGAGCTCCACAGACCTGCTCCACAGACAGAGCTCCACAAACCTGCTCCACAGACGTGCTCCACAGACCTGCTCCACAGACAGAGCTCCACAGACAGAGCTCCACAAACCTGCTCCACAGACCTGCTCCACAGACTGCTCCACAGACTGCTCCACAGACAGAGCTCCACAAACCTGCTCCACAGACCTGCTCCACAGACTTGCTCCACAGACAGAGCTCCAGAGACCTGCTCCACAGACAGAGCTCCACAAACCTGCTCCACAGACAGAGCTCCACAGACCTGCTCCACAGACAGAGCTCCACAAACCTGCTCCACAGACAGAGCTCCACAGACCTGCTCCACAGACAGAGCTCAACAAACCTGCTCCACAGACCTGCTCCACAGACCTGCTCCACAGACAGAGCTCCACAGACAGAGCTCCACAAACCTGCTCCACAGCCACCTGCTCCACAGACCTGCTCCACAGAGATCCACAGACCTGCTCCACAGACAGAGCTCCACAAACCTGCTCCACAGACCTGCTCCACAGACCTGCTCCACAGACAGAGCTCCACAGACAGAGATCCACAGACCTGCTCCACAGACAGAGCTCCACAAACCTGCTCCACAGACCTGCTCCACAGACCTGCTCCACAGAGATCCACAGACCTGCTCCACAGACAGAGCTCCACAAACCTGCTCCACAGACCTGCTCCACAGACCTGCTCCACATTCAGAGCTCCACAGACAGAGCTCCACAAACCTGCTCCACAGACAGAGCTCCACAGACAGAGCTGTTACCTTGTCACAAACAGACCTGAGTTGTGTTTTGTTTTATTCTCACATGTTTGAATAACCCTGCATTATTTCTGACTACATCTCCATGGCTAAAATTGCATTAACATTAGCATGCTAATATTTGGACAGATCTATTAATTAAAGTGTCTATATGTAGTGATTTTGATAAAGAATTGTGCAGATTTTTGTGCATCAGAGACAACTGATGTCTTACTTGTTCTCAAACAGGTCTCAAACTCTAAGAGGAATGATTTTCACATTTCAGTGCAGTTAAAAATGTAGTGGAGTACAAAGTGTAAATACCTGCTCTCAAGTGAAGTCAAAGTCAGAAGAACAGTAAAACTTGTACTTCAGTGCTTACGACAAGTTGGAGTACTGATTTTACTAAAACACAGCTAAGTTAGATTAGTAAGATTTTACTTAAGAGATTAAACATTTTTTACCCAGTTTGGCCATTTGTTAGGTTTCAAATGTTACTTCCTGACTGGAAATCATGGCATTCCATAACTTTTACCTACAACCATATGTACATTGGGCAAAAACTAATCTAATGTGCAGATTATTATTTGACAAATAAAAATGCAAGAAAATACTATTTGTATAATGACTATCATCTTCAGAATAATATCCACAGTTCATTTGTAGTCTTAAATAACCATGAGGATCAGTGTCTGTTTCTGTATCAGGACTTGTAATCCTGCTGTTCAACAGTGTGTCAGGTTCTCTTGCTTCATTCATATCTTCTTTTGACTTAGCCTTAGACTTCTAGTCTTAAATTTCTGTTGCTCTGATGTTCCATTACACTGGATCATTACTTTACAGTTCCTTGTCCCTGTTTCTTGGTTCTTCTCATTTCTACAGGACTCTTGTCTGCATGTGTTCTTGTGAGGTGCCCATTACATACACACCTGAGCCCTTGAGGTTTTAGTGAGCCCTTGAGGACTGTGTCCTCACCTGCATTGGTCTGACACACTCGGCGCGGGGCTCAGGTCACCTCCTTTTCTGGACGTCAGTGAAATGAGCTCAGCCTGGTCTCTCCCACACTGGTCACTCCAGGACAATCCCTGTGGTCAGTGCGGACCCAGGGTCAGACCTGGTCAGATCTGAGGCTGCTCCAGATTACAGCTCTGACCTGCTGATTGTGTTTCAGGTGACATCACAGCCTCAGGACTGCTGATGGAGAGGAGGAACGGCCCTACTGATGGGGAGAGGAGGTGTGTCAAACTGCTGACGTGGCTTGTGGGCTGAATGTCTGAATTTCCCTTTAGGAGATTGAAATGCTCTGACCTGCCCCCATGTGGAAACATGACATCATCACATTGTGCAGCTGAAAATCCATTCACTAAGAACTGGATCTTTCTGTGTAAACAAATCTGAGGTCACAAATCACAAGTCCTGTGAAGAGTGTGGACTTTAAAGAGCCACAAAGCAAAATGGACTTTTTGGAGCTTTCGATCATGTTCTAGCTCATTGTGTTATGTTTGAAGATGTCATCCATGTATGTATGAGTATTTTAGCTTTCTCTCCGGGGCCCTATTTGAACCCTGCTTATGGTTAGTGGTACGATCCGGTACAAGGCTCAGACCACAAGCATAAGTACACAAAAACATGATATAAAACACACAACTTCACAAACTTGATGTGATGTGCAGTAGTTACATTAGCGAGATGCACGCAGATTCCTCTGTAGGACGACTGACTTAATAAGGGGAGGACCTGAACATTTAAATATGTGCATATAGAATTTTAATAAAATAAAAAAGTAACATGGTCATCTAAATATGTATAAAGACTAAATGCTCCTTTGTGCAGAATTACACCTGCTTTTCAGTGCAATAAACACAACCAAACAGAAAAGAACATGATTTTATTTCAGTCCATTTTCTAAAAAGTGACATCAGGATAAATCTCCTGTGCCATAAGGCCCAACCCTCTCTGAAACCAAGATCCCTCAAACGACGCGAATCAGGCAGTGTGAAAATCTACACGTTTATTGAGTCAAGAATAGTTCAACAGCTGTTGAGTAAGAACATTTCAAGCAATTCTATGATTTAAAAAATGTTTCTCTTGACAACAAAATCCTGATTTGACAAATCTATGGCTTTTACAAATTTACACATGTGACCATCACATCTATGAAAATATTTGCTAAACATTACATATTAAAGTATGTAGAACTTTTGCAAAACAAGCGCAAGTTTTGGATATTACCGGCACACTAAAACATGTTGAACAATAAATTCTTATAAAATCTGCATCATAAAATAAATCTCCACAAATCCAAAAACACAATTTAAAAGAATATAAATAGTAACTGTAGCATGCGTTAGTATGTGCTAGCATCAAAGTGCGGCGAGCAGTCTGTCCAGGCCCACTGTTGTCAGGTCACTGTAAAACGTGCCCTCATTGTCCCCGCCCCCAAACACCAGAAGAGCCTTGGCCTCCTGCGACGGGTCTTGGTCCTGGTCCTGAGTGCAGCGGGTGGTTTCCATGGTGATGATGGAGTGCCCGGCTCTGGGGAGGCGCAGCTCTGGAAGGGCCACCTCTGTCCAGGTGTTTGTGTCTGCACAGGACAATGATGGAGTAATCTTAGTTCACCTGTCACGATAATGACTCTATGGACTTAAGCTTCAATATATGAAAGATGAACATTTGGGGTTAAATGCATCATGGGGACTTAGTCTTTGCACTAGTGGGAACGGTTTTGTCATTTTTCCTGTTCTACAATTATATTTGAGCTGAAGAGGACCTTCTGTGACTCATTATAAATGCAAACTCATTACAAGTGGTGTGTATATCTGCTGTTTATTATTTATTGTTGTTGCTTTTTTTTTTTTTTTTTTTTTAACAATATTTTCCATTTAGACTACTTTTAGGAGTTTGATTTCTACTTTTTGTGTCAGTCTTTATCATCTTGATGTAAATGGCATGCATGATCAAGTACTGTGATGTATTCCTTTGATTTGAAGAAAGTAACTGTACCAGAATAGAGTAACTAAAAAACTTGAATTTGTATTTTCAATACATGTATTTAGTTACTTCAATACTTGAAGCAGAGTCCAGTGCAGTGAGTAACTCTTACCAGTGTCAAAGATGAAGGCATCACTGAGCGCGTGGTTTCCATTGTAACCTCCGTGGATCAGGAACTTGGAGTTTGAGAGCATAGCGCTTCCATGCCAACTGGAACAACACATGACACAGATGTTACATGGAGCTAGGGCTCTAGGCCTTTAGTCGATTAGTTGATTAATCGGTCAGTGGAGTCATATTCAACCGATATGTGAACTAGTTGACTAACCATTTGATTTAAATCAGAACTTTTATGGGACAACAGCATGAAGAAGTGAGTGACCTTTAACATAGAAATCCCAAACATACCAAATCTTCAGCTCTCAAACAAATCTCATGATTCTCAATTTGAATTGATCTTTATAGAAATACTCCCCCTGCAGGTGTAGTCTTGTGAGTGCAGTTTGGGTCAGATACAGAGATACGGCATTCACCTTATTTCAGAAGTTGCATTACTGGGGTTATATTATTTTGTATGGGGCTGACAGGAAATAATTTCAATCCAAACTATAAAGCATTTTTAAAGCTTCCAGAGAATTGGTGGAGTGTAAGTGCATATGAAAACATTTTAAACAAATACACCTACTTTATGTCATATTTAATCAACAAAACTTTTCCCAAATTCTCCATTTAAATGAATGGGATCCCAGCTTAACCGAAAGTGCCACCACAAGAAAACGCAGTTTAGGAGATTTTAGAGACAAAAGTAGTTGAATAAAGGCTGAAGATGAAGAGTTGAGAACTTTAACCATGCCCCCTTTTTAGTCGATCAATTGAAGGGCAGCACATTTCTTAAGTCCACCAAGACTTTCTTTAGCCGACTACAGACCTAAATGAAACATCACAAACTAAGTGCAGAAATAAGGAGAGCAGACCTGCGCGGAGACGGGGCTGTGCCACGTGTGCTGACCACCGAGAACTCCATCAGACCTGGACACACACAGAGTACAACAGAAGAAGAGGTAAGAGAGGAGAAGGTGAGGGGAGGACAAGAGAGGAAAGGAGAGAAGAGAGAGATGAAGAGAGAGGGAGTAGTAGAGGGATCTTACCCAGGTCTACCTTGTACAAGTGATTAAAGCAGAGCGGTGAAGAGAGAGGGATGAGGAGAGAAAGACAGAGAGAGAGGTGTTAAGAAAGGGAAAAGTAAGAGGAGAGGGGGAGAGGAGGAGGGGAGAGGGGGGGTAAGGAAAGTGAAGGAGGGCTGTTCCTTACCCAGGTCTAACATGTACATGTCGTTGAAGCAGAGCGGAGTGTCCCAGCCTCCAAACACAAACAGACTCCTCTGCTGCATCAGGCACGCCGAGTGTCTGCGTCACACAGGAACACGTCACACAGGGACACGTCACGCCGGGACTAGACCGGGACTAGACCGGGACTAGACCGGGACTAGACCGGGACTAGACCGGGACTAGACCGGGACTGTGCAATGAGTGGAGTATGTAATGAGTGGAGTGTGCAATATTTTATTGTTTGACCCCTGTGACCCCAGCCCCTTGGGAGAATGGATGGAAATAAGCCTTGGGCTACAATCCGGTGTGTTTACATTCATGTTGTGTCATTTTTGTCCATTAACATGCTCTGTCCCAATCAAATAAATAAATAAAAAACCAAGACTAGACCAAGAGCAGTCTAGTCTACAGTGGGCACACCAGTGTCTGCACCAGGGGAGTAGGGGCCACACTACACACTGCAGAGGGCCAGAGGACATTAAAAGACACACTGGCCCTGACTCAGAGCCTTCTCCTAAACAAGTGATCGGTAAAGCGCCACACACTCAAACTGCCAAAATGGGCTTGCCTTATTTTTAAGGTCAATTCAACTTTTGGCTCTGGTTCATCGATCTTCCCATTTTTGGCACAGTGCTAGTGAACATGCCCAGGACCGTGTCTTACCCAGAGCGGGGAACAGGGGGGCGTGTCTTACCCAGAGCAGGGAACAGGGGGGCGTGTCTTACCCAGAGCGGGGGGCGGGCTTGTCTCCGGTGACGATGGGCTGGTACCAGATGGACAGCTGAGGGTCAAAGATGTAGAGGGCATCACTGCACCCGTCGGGCTGTGGGTGGGGCCTGGGGAACACCCCCCCCAGCACCCACAGCTCTCCTCTGAACAGGGTGCAGCTGTGGTAGGCCAGAGGAGGCACCTTCCCCTGAGCCTGGACACAACAGACACAGATACTACAGCTGGAATCACCTCATCACATACAGAATAATCAAATACATGAAGCAACATGTACTGAATGATGTAGCAACGAACAAGATGTTCAGCAACTAAATGTGCTTCATATTGATAAAAAATATGAATAAATATAATCTAGATCATATAGATTGGCAGCCTCCAGTATCTTCCACCACAGTGTGGAGTGAGTGAAGAATGCACTGTAAAGCTCTGTATGGCCCTATAGACATCCAATCCATTCTTACGTTATAAATCACTGACATATCCAGGTAAATCCACAGCAGACAAAAACATGAAGATGAATAGACCTGTCATCTTATTCTTATTGTGTTCACTAGCTGCCCCACAGTGCCACACGTGGATCTTGAGTGTGTGTTGGTGCTGGGGACTTTACCTCCACCATGGTCCACCTCCAGCTGCGCGTGTCCAGGATGTGCATGTCGTTGAACCAGGTTTTGTTCTTGGAGCCTCCAAATACAAAGATGCGGCTAGAGTCAGGGTCGTAGACGGCAGTGTGTCCCATCCGGGTCTCAGGGGTGGGGCCCGCTGCCAGCGTCTCTGCGGGCCCCCAGCTCCTGTCCTCTGAGGGAGACAAATTGAGAAGAGGAATGTGAATGACTCGGCAGATCAAGCCATGTTTCAGGACCAGCTTCAGTCTGACGTTACATTACAAATCTATAAACATGAGGCTTAAGTGACCCTGGCATGATGAGAAGAACTAACAAAGTAGGATTAGCAGTTTTTATGCAGAATCCTAATTATATTGTATATGTTCTATTGTCTTTGTGATTGTGTCCATTCAAATTGCGATTTCAGTTTGATTGTAATTCATCTTTCAGCTCTATAATTAAAAGGCACTGCACCTTATTTTTATGATCTTAAAAATGTGAAAAGCTTTTCACCATATGTTTATTGTGATTGTAAAGCCAACAACAAGTAGCATGATAGCAGCACAATTGCTGATTACTGGACAATAAAACAATTCATACAGAGCACAGCTGACTTATTTTAACATCAAGAGCTGCTTATACAGTACATCGAGTACAGGCTCTTTAAAAGTGTGAGTAATGCCCAATGTAGACTGAGCTGTAGGGCCGTGGGGCCGTGGTGGTGGGCAGTGTTGTGCATGAACGAGTTCAAAAGAACGTTCATTGAACACGTTCATTTTTCAGTGAACTTTGAACTGAACGCAACACTTTTGTAAATCAAGAACTTGAACGTGAATTTGTTCAAATTATGTGTGATGAACGACGTACGTCACTGTCGGAAACGTCGGAATTTGACGAGTGACGATCTGCTAGCACTTCACCTCGCGAAACCACAGTCGCGTGTCAACGCGAAGGCGACTCCACCGGCAGCTTTAGCGGAACGTACAGGCTCTTGTGTCTCTCAATGGGAAAGTCAATCAAACTTGACTGGGCGCGTTTAGCTGCTTGTTTTTACCTTCTGTACAGGCTGACCACGGCAAACGCAAGGATTTCAAAAGTACATTTCAAAGCACTAATTAACAGTCTATGTGGATCTGGGCTCTTTCACATGATACAGAACTGCCCAGGGAGCACAATGTGCTGATGGTAAATGCACAAATACAACAACAGATACATGCTCTCTGTGTATTTTGACGGGGATACGCGCCTACGCTCTTGTAGAGCGTCAAAAAATAGGATGGATCCTATTTTCTGAAATCTACACGCACAGGACGTGCTGCTCCGCGCACGTATTATTTTACTTGGTAAATATGTCAGTAACGCGCGTCACAATGCTTTTTTAACCTGGATTGAAATGGTGGGTTTTTCGTTTTTCTTCATACAAATTTGCTAAAATCACAGCGATATCAGCAGTGGTGAAACGCCGGAGGTGCGCCCGCGTAGACCGTGATCCTGAGCGAAAGGACCGACGCAGAAGTCCGCACTCCACAGAGCTAAACGCAGCTGACGCCCGATCGCACTCGGGGTTCTCTCAGGGGCGGTCCTAGATTGCAAGTTCTAGTCCAGGATTAGTCCTGGTTTGGTCCTGGTTTAGTCTTGGTTTAGTCCTGGTTTAGTCCTGGTTCAGTTCTGGTTTAGTCCTGGTTCAGTCCTGGTTCAGTCCTGGTTTAGACCTGGTTTAGTCTTGGTTTATTCCTGGTTTAGACCTGGTTTAGTCCTGGTTCAGTTCTGGTTTAGACCTGGTTCAGTCCTGGTTTAGACCTGGTTTAGTCTTGGTTTATTCCTGGTTTATTCCTGGTTTAGACCTGGTTTAGTCCTGGTTCAGTTCTGGTTTAGACCTGGTTCAGTCCTGATTTAGACCTGGTTTAGTCTAAAATAAATGCAGCCTTTCATTTACAGATCTCACCTAAATATAACATGAAGTGAACTTTGAACTAGTTCAAAATTAAAATTGTGAACTATGAATGTGAACTATTCATTTTGAACAAGTGTGAACTGAACTTTGAACTAGTTCATGAAAAGTGTGAACTTGCACAACACTGGTGGTGGGGACAGTACTGACCAGTGCACAGCTTCCACATGGGGTCCTTACAGAAGTGCATCCTGGTCCCCTGCCCCCCAATCAGGATGGCTGTGTGTGGGTCAATGGGGCTCAGAGTGTGCCCCCAGCGACCGGAGGGTCTGACCAGAGAGGCTGAAACACACAAACATCACTGTTATACTCAGTGTGTGTGTGTGTGCGTACGTACGTGTGTGTGTGTGTACGTGTGTGTGTGCGTGTGTAGACAGGCACCAGGCTCACCAGGCTGTGTGGGGGTCCTGGTCTGATGGCTCTTGGTTCTGGATGGATTGGGAGGAGGTGTTTTAACAGCACCTTGTTGTGCTTCTGTAAACAAATATGTCATTTGCATATTACTAGTCCCATAACAAACCCACTAACAAGGAAGATCATTTGTTTAATCAGATTTTGAATTATTTTAAAGTATACATTTCAACATATTTAAAAATGCAAAAAAGCACAAACATTTTCAAGGCCTCAAATTCACCAGTCAATGATCAGAGTGTACAATTCACCAGAAAAATTTTCACAGTAAAGATCCAAGATGCCGAGGCAAAAGCACCAGACTCCGTGTCTGTGTGTGTGTGCGTGTCTGTGTGTGTGCATCTGCGTGTGTGCGTCTGTGTGTACAGAGGCTGTTTTCTTTGGGCCTTTCTTATAAACATGAGGTTTAGCTGAGGCTCATTGCGAGCATCAGGTCCCTGGTTATTGTTTTTAAATTAGATGGACTCACTTAGACTCTATTACGTCTGGGCATCTTGGATCTTTGTTGTGTATAATATAACATTCTAATATTGTAATATAGTTTGAGGCTCAATGTTTCTGTATGTGTATAAAATGTATTATTTAAAGTGTGGAGATATTGGGGATGTTATGGGGCATTTTTGTTCTAATATGATACAGTTTGAGCTGTAGAGGGTTGATAAGTTTCTTCTATGGATAATTCTTACTTGATTCTGCAATGTATTAGTTATAGCTCAGAACTCTCAATGTAATGATGCGGTCTATTTAAAAATGGTTTACAAGGATTATCTTGTTGGTGTCAGTGGCATAAAGTAGTTTCAGTATTACTGTTTATCGTAGTACATCTCTGTAGCGATATATCACACTTCAAAATGTTTTATCATGAGGCCTAATGTCAGCTCCCACTGGGCAACGCAATTTTCCAACTCAGAAGTCATTTTATAGATTAGAACTATATTGCAGACCACAGCACTTCTCTGAGACAAATATACATGAACATAAAATGAAAAGAGTCAATATCTGCCCGATATATCGGTCTGTCTCTTGTTCAGAGTGCACCTTTAATACACCTCCAAAAGCATTACCATGTAAAAGACTGAAATATGACACAAGCTAATCCAAGAATCCCACACATTTTGAACAACCCTGTGGAGCTGGATGATTAGTTACTGGTACATGCATGTGTGAACATAAAGTAGTTTAAATTTTGACTCAATAGGCTGGTCAATAAGGGCACACGGAGAACGGGGCAGTGACAATGATACTGGTATCTAGTAACGATTATTGTATCAACCACTATTGAAGGACCTCTATCAATATTGGCCGATACTGGAACCAATATCTAAAACCAAGTGCACGGTCAGCCTGTATCAAACTAAACATGGCGAGTTATGTAATATTCAAACAAATGACTAAGAAAAGAAATAAAAGAATCTTTAGCAGTGAGTGTGGGCCCAGACTCTTCTGCACACGACAGAAAGTACAGCAGGAGGAGCTGCCACACTAGGTTACCATAGAAACACATCTTCAGATAGTAAATGTGAGTATTTACACTTCGCAGTGACATCGCTGGGGGTGTCCTACATGTATGTCTATGGTGGAATGTTCATCAGTTACCATGGTGATAGAAACAATGCACACAAAGTTTTAAACAACACATTTCCAGGGGCCTGTGCTCCACATGTTCACGGTCCTGTTTAGGAGTTTGAGTTTACATAAAAAGGGGAGAGTGACTCACACACCTGTTGCAGTTCAGCTAAGTCAGTTCTTTCAGGTCAGATTGCCTCACACCGAGCAAGCCTACAGGTAGAGTTGTTGTAACTTGAGTTCTCACCACTGCCGTCGTGAGGTGTGTTGGTGAACAGCTTGAGTGCTTCTTTGGGCTGGCCCCGGGCCCTCCTCACTGGGGTCACTGTGTTGGGGCAGATGTTCTCATCTCCGGCCCCACTGCCCCCCTCCTGGTCTAGGTCTCTCTTCCTCTTAGTGCTCATGTTCTGGGATGCTGGGGGCGCTTCTGTGACCTGGGACACACCGGTGCAATGCTTTACAAAACCCCCATTTCCTCCATCAACCCAAAACATGCACAACCAGGCAAATCAGATTTACAGATTTCCTTCTAACTAGGGGCTGGACAAAAATATATATGTCATGATTTTCATTGATGAAAAGCCACTGAAGTAAATGTGATCAGCAGTAAAATGAAGACTGCAGTCGTATGTGCCGTTTGGACTCATCTGGAGTTTGGCGCCACATCTCTTCTAATCACATGTACCAGTGCACTTGGAGTTATGTGTCAATGGAGAAATGATGAAAACTGAGGTGTGATTGGAATTGTTGATTAGCTGAACATAACAGAACACTGCAATGACATGGAGATGAAGAAAACTGGGACATTTTCTAATTTTTCCTACATTTTGTCAGACTTACTGTCACGAGCAGAGCCCAAAGAAGTTGTAATGGCATGTTTCCAAACGCCTTCCTAGTTTGTGACGTAAGACTGAATAGAGATCAGATGATTTTTTCCCAGTTTGTCAATTTTTCACAGATTATTACACGCCAAACAAAAATATTTAAAAAACACCTTTATTTTAATGAAATTTAAAATATCAGAAATAATGTGTTTGTGGAAATTGTGAGAAACTTTTGAACAGAATTCCCCCTGTGTGATGTCATTCTTATGTTTAGAACTCTCTACTTCCTGTAATTTTCAACATATTTTTCAAATCTCATAATACTTTCCATAAATTTCTACTTGTAAAAACCTAAATGTATGTTAACACCAGGTTTTATCTCATGAGATGAAGTAGAAATGAGAAAAGCCCTACACACTCCTCACTGCCCTGATGGTTTCTGTTTTTGGTGTATGAATGTGAACATGCTAATTGTGGACAGAGATGTGGTTGGTGGTGTTTCTGTCCTCTTGTCTCAGCCTGGATGTACTACAGCAGTACTACAACAGTACTACAACAGTACTACAACAGTACTACAACAGTACTACAACAGTACTACAACAGTACTACTCTGATCTTACCTTGGGCGTGTACTCCTTCACAGTGAGGACCTGCTCTGGCTCTGACCAGTGGGGTTTACCCTGAGGACAGACAGACACTTTACACTCCACACACTGTTCCACATTGTGACATCAGCAGGTGGTACTTCAGTAGAGCTGCTCTGTGTTCATGCATATTCACTTGAATCAGTTAAAGGCTGTGTCAAGTTGTAGATGTCATGTCATCATTTCAGATGGACGGCAGTGGTCTGTATAACACTAGGGGACATTCTGAAATAATCTTCCTATCTTATGATCCACAAATGTCAATCCTTATTGTTTGACAGGCACTAAATAACATCTAAATACACACTGTATATTAACCATAAATCATTTCAACAAATATGGCATCTGTTAAAAGGCAGTGTACCCGTTAAACAGGTGAAAAACAGAACTGATTCGTCTGAAGCAGTTTGCTGTGCTTCAAAGTTATTCCTCACTTACTTTATGCATTCAGAGCATCCCAATTAGAATCAGAGTTCCCACTCTTTTTCACTAACAATATTTCAAAACTTTTCCATTACCTAAAGTGAATTTTCCATGACTTTACGGCACATACATGTATAGAAGTGATCAGACTTTTACAGTTAAATATGAAATGTTAACTCTTTCCACTCACTTTATCATTTGGGATTATAGTTTTTGAACATTCTAAATCCTGTCAGTGCATTTATTGTCGTCTCTTTTAAACAAAAGGCACAGAAGTTCACAAATAATCAGAATAGCCTAACTGAGAACTTAACAGAAGGCTGTAGTTGCGTGAAAGAGATACTAAAATTCCATGACTTTTCCAGGTGTGCAAAAATGACATTTTCAATTTCCATGACCATAGGAACCCTGTAGAACACATCCTGGTGATCAGTTTATAAGTGCTTTTCAAAAAGTTTTACCATCACGGTAACAACTAACATGCTGTGTATAAAATAAAATGACAAATTCAAAGCTTTCTTATTAGAGGCAGACAGTACACAGTGGACTTATTTAGCTACGTATACAATATATCTGTACCAGGGCAAGACAAGTTTGCTCCTATACAAGGGAAAAAATCTGGTACAGGGTCTTAAAGAATTGCTAGTGCTTTGGTTGTCTTCCCTTCCCTCTTCTTTAAGCACTGGTCTGTATTTTAGTGTAGTGTTGCTGGGACTGACCAGAGCTGCCCCGTCCACAGACAGTCTGAGTGTGACCGAGTCTGTCCACGAGTCCTCCTCCCACTGCTCCCACGACAGACACCTGCAACACAACATACTGTAAACACACTACATATTCAGCACATATATGACACACACAGACACACACAAGGCACTGAAGAAGCCACACATTTGTACTCAAACAACACTTAGCTGTAATAATACTCCAGCACAGGAGAAGCTTGAAGTAGTGGGTGAAGGAAAAGGTATTTGGGAAAAGTACTACACCAGTAAAAGAGCAAGTGAGAGTAACATCACATTTATAAATTCAAGTTAGTGTAATCTGAAGGAAAAAACATTAAATAATGCAGAAAATCTGGCATTTTCAACACAAAAATGACTAAACTAAATCATATCTGAATGGTATTCAAATCATTTCACATTGTCAACATAAAGCTTTTGTTACTTGTAGATTTACTCATAGAAGTAGCAAACACTAAAATTACTCAAGTAAATGTAACAGAGTACATGTACTGAGTACTAAGGCTGTACAATTTATTGAATTTTGATCGTGATTTTCATTTGTGTGTCAAACGATCCCCAAACTCATAACTGACTTGAAACAATTTATCTTAACAAAGTTTATTTTGGAATATTTTTTTATATAAATAAGTATATTCATTTTATTTTGAAATATAGTGTGTGTAGAACAGCTGGATATATAGTTTATTTTGGATACATTTAGTTTTTTCTATGCCTTATTTCATGTTCAAAGTATATTTTATTCAGTTTATGTTTTATACATCACAAAACTGCTCTAAGGATCAGATTTGTAGCCAATGGTATATTTATTTTCAATTTGAAAGTTCTGCATCAGTTATCAATAACAAAGTGTTTTTTGTTTTTTGAGAGAGAGAAATGCTGAATAAATGCATTGTGTAACTAAAAAACAATCGTTTGAATAATTGTGAGTTCAATATTGACCAAAATAATCGTGATAATGATTTTTTCTATAATTGAACAGCCCTGATGAGGACTACCGACTCATGACTATCAGCATGTTTTTGTGTAGCCTATATTACATAAAAACACTTTCTCATTTCCATCCTTTTTGTTCCATTACATAAGATATGCTTATGTAAAGGCTGGACAGTGTCTGAGTTAACAGCCGATTTTACTTTTATGGGGTATTAACTGTAACACATAACATATTCCAATCACAATGTTACCTTTTATTGTTCTGAAAATGCTGACTTCACCCAAACAAGGTATTAACTTGTTTTATCAGTTTCAGTATAATGTTTACGTTCTAAGTCTCTGCTCCTGTTGCTTGCACTCCCACGTGCCCTTCAGAGCACAATCACAGCACAATCAGCGTGCATCCTGCGAATGAAACTACTGCACACCGCATTAGGTTTGTCCAGATGTTGTGTCCAATTTTGTATCATATTCTTGTACATTTATGGAGAATTATCACATGGCTAACATAGGCTTGTGGGCAGTTCACAAAATCTTACAGCTAACTGTAAGGAGGGCTTGAATATGGCCTGGGAGAGATTGCTAAAATACCTAAACATGTTTACAGGGATGACTCTCTTCAGGCAAGATTTTGATGAGGGAACATTATAACATGGTAGAGAATGTTAGTAGCTGATTTTGCATAATCGCCTCTTGAACGTGTTTGACCCAGTCACCCACTTGTTGTAGGGCGTGAGTTTGCCGATGGTGATGGGGACCAGCGCAGCATCCTCCAGCACCGCGTTCACGCAGAGCCGCTCCCCCCACGGGCCACTGCTGAACAGCACCACCTGCTGGACACACGCCGGCACTGCCACGCTCACTCTGGAGGAGCCACCAGCGCTGGAAGACACGAGCAGCAGTGTGAGGTCAGGACCACTCACCTGTACACGCGAGGATTCACTGGACAACTACTACAGAAAATAATATGAGTGTGTGTAATCACGGAGGGATGGGCTCATATTTACACTGCACTAAAACAGATTTGGTTTTGGAAAACACTGCTTAGAATGGGCTATAACAAAACACCCGCCTTCTGAGGTATAAGCAGAAAAACAGGCATATAAGGAAACTCCAGAGTCTCTGAGTCCATGTGGCTGGACGGGACCTTCTCAGAGCAGCTGTCCTGAGTTCTTACACCTCTGAGAGGTCAGTGTGTGTTTGTCCATCATCTGCATAGCATGACCTTTGACCCCTGAAGAAGAGACTTCACTTTAAAGACTTTCATCTCCTGAAACCTTCCTTTTCAGTGAATGTGGACATAAATAGCCTCAGAGTGAACTGGACTCTGCACTGAACATGAGATATAGATACTAGAAGTGTCACTGGAGTCAAGTTTGGTAAACAGATCTAATGAAACCTGGAGCACTGCCCACACAAGCGTGACCCAAACTGTACAGGCCCCATGAAGCTCGGGAGCATGTCCTGAGTCAGTGAGATCAGGATATCATCCAAACCTGCAGAAATACAGAGTTTATGTCAAACATAGGCTCGTGTCATCGTGAGCCCGTGCACACGGCACACTGGAGCTGGACATGTCCCTGTGATGCTCATGTACATCAGATGCTCTCGGGTAAAGGCAGATCAGATCCTAACCGGAAATAACAACGCGAGTTTAGTCCTGATGCGTGAAGAGCGCGCTCCTCCCGCTCAGCGCGCACAAAGACCGCACTCAACTACACCAGTGAGGAAAAGCTCTTTTTCTGAACACAATAAAAACACACGTGCTGTTTGTATTGAACTTGTACAGGACTGAGTATGAAAAGTGTCACCAGATGAGTCTCTGCGGAGGTCCGCTCACTCCAAACACCGCGTACACTCCGAAGTCCTCCTCCATCCCCGGGACCAGCGGCTCTGTCCAGGCGCTATCACTGCTGCGAGTCAGATTTGCGCTCCAACTGCTTTGGGCGCTGTTTTCACACAGTTCTTGTTTGTCCGCAGAGTGTCTTCCGAATGTCTCCCGAATGTTTCCAGAGTGTCTCCAGAGTGTCTCCCGCCACACACTGTCCACAACTCCAAATACGCGCGCCTGTGTTGAACGGAGATGCGCTTGTTTCGCTGCGCGGAATAATGCGGAGTAGTGCGGACGGCTTAGCTGCAGACTCCGCCCGGCAGCAGATGTCCCAGGTGAGTGTTTGAAACAAACTACAGGGAGGGGCGTCTACATTCAGTTAGCCAATCACAAAGACGCATCCAGCGAGGGGCGGTGGGAGGAGGCATGACGTCACGAAAAGCTCCGTTCAGGAACATGTGGTTAAAAATGTTCATCTGCTGGTGGCGCATTTGTGCCTGGCATGGATCTGTAGGGCGTCTGTTTATTAGAGTTGTGTGGTGCCTGGACTGTCCTAGTTTATCGGAGGCTGTAAATGCTGAGCTACAGCGTTAGTTCACAAACCGTGAAGTGCAAAATTATGTCTGGTGAATGTGAATGAACTTTACAAAACAGGAAACTGGTGACATCCACATCAGTATATCTCAGAAGCTAAACAGGGCCGGGCCTAGACAGTACTTGGATGGGAGACCACTGAGTGCCACAGGGGGCACCAGTGGCAAAAAATATTGTTGTATCCTTAGGCAAGACACTTCACTCACTAATATAAATGTGGTGTGTGTGTGTGTGTGTGTGTGTCGGTTGGAGGAGCAGATGGTGCAGATTGGCAGCCTCACTTTTTTGTTACAATAGTAACTTAGCACCACCGAGTGTGGAGTGAATGAATAATGCCCTGTACAGCTGCATTGGGTGGACTTGCATCTCCTCAAACATGTCTCTTATTTGGTCTGGAGGAGAACATCCTCCTGCTTGCTTCAATGGAAATGTTGTTCTTTCGAATACTGAAAGTGAGTCAATACCTGCTTACTCCCAAATGAATCACAATGTTTCAATCAGTGGATCTTCATCAGGTCATGACCTGACACTCTCTGTGATGTTCACTGTAGTAGCCTTGCACCAGTGATGTGTATACACCTCTAACTTTTATGTTCCTTGGAATATTCCATGGAATGCCAGTGTATCTGTCTCCATGGAGAATGCTCCACAGGGACAACTGCAGGAGCTCTGGCTGATGTCGAGGAGCATATGGTCAGAGTCAGAGGTGGGTAATACTCTTAGGCTACATTTACAGAGTACTCCGTGTACTTTTCTAGCAGGATAATTTTACTTACTTGATATTTTTATAAATAAATGTAAATGTTTTATTTACTCTTCCCACTGTGAGTAAGTATAAGTGACAAAATCTTTATGTTGACAATCTTAAATGATTTGAACGTATGTGTTCCATGCGCCTTTAAAAATACCATTATTTAAAGCTGTGTCCTTCAGATTCAGGTTGTTTTAACTCAAACTATAAAACAGATGTTAAATTACACTTACTTGAGTATATTCGTGGAGTGCTATATTCAACATGAATGGATTTTTAAAAATTATTTATTTTTGTCAAATTTTGTATTTTTATTAGGCCTACTGGTCAACCCAACACATGAATCAACACAGAAGCAGAGCAGACAACACGACGAAGAATTCTATGCATAAAAATCTGATCTAATATCACACAATAGTCGTTTTTTAATAGTCGTTATTATGCAGCATTTTATAAGCCTACATCATTCAAAGTGTAAACACACTCCAAATCACAGTTTGTACCACTGTAAATACTTCAGATTCTTGCTTCCGTCTTTAACTTATTTCCATATTAATCTGTTTATCAACACTTGAGACCCAAATTCCCTCTAGCGGCTTTTTTCTTGGTTTTGAGTTTGGCGGTGCCGAGTTGACTCACGGTGCGCTCTTGAACGCCACCCCTGCTCGTGCAAAGCATTGTGGGACGGACGCCGGCAGAAAGCTTCTCGAAGGAACCGCTGCAAAGATGATGGTGAGTGAGCTAGCATTTATCCCCTGTCCGTCCCGTTATCCCGAGCCATCCTCCCGCTGTCTTTCACCGGGCTTCATCAGACATGTCCCCGCGTATTCAGCGGGCTGTGTGCCGCCCACAGACCCCCATATTTTGTTAGAATCCCCCGTAAAAGTGGTTTATTACCCGCGGGTTTGTGCTAGCATAGTGCCGGTGTAGAGTCAATGGGCGTATACAAAGCCGGCTGAAGTGCGTGTTTGTGTTCTAATGCAGCGTTTAGCGGAGGTTAGCGGGTCGATCGTTCATTATGGGCTATTCTTGGCAGTGTGTAAAGATATATTTGATAGTAAATGAGCATGTAAATGTTGTGATCGGCATTAGCATGTCCGACTCATACCAGTGTATAGTGAGTGCTCATCTCTCCTGCGCGTGTGTGTGTGTGTGTGTGTGTGTGTCTGTGTCTCTGTGTCTGTCCACTGTCAGCGGGCTCATAGCTGTACATGCAGGTAAAGGTGTGAAAAGGCTGAACTATCAGTGGAGTATTTAACAGATTTGGGTCAGGAAAACAAAAGCATCCCATCAGACTCATGACACTGGGCAGGGCTGTGGCCATCAGCAGGCTCCAGTGCTCACTCAGTCCGTTCATATTCTTCTGCTTCTCTGCGGCCGGGTCACAGGGGCTTCAGTTTAAGCAGGGACTCCCACACTTCCTCCAGCTCCACTGGGGTGACCCCAAGATGTTCCCAGGCCAGCTCAGAGACATAGTCCCTCCAGCATGTCCTGGGTCTTAGACTTAGACAAATTTTATTGATCCACAGGGGAAATTATTTGGACACAGTGGCTCACACATCACAATATGATATAATAACTAGACTCTTCATTCGGAACAGATGCCCGAACCACCTCAGCTGGCTTCTGTCAACATGGAGGAGCAGCGGCTCTACTCCAAGCTCCTCACTGTATCTCTAAAGGAGCACCCAGACACCCTGTGGAGGAAACTTATTTTGACCGCTTGTGTCCGCGATCTTGTTCTTTAAGTCATTTACATTTATTTTATGAAATACACTAACTCTGTGTTAGACCTGATTTAGTCCCTGTTTTTCTGGGTTACCAAGTCCACCTTATTCTGACACTCTTTACTCCTGGTTTAGTCCCTTTTAGACTTGGTTTATTTCTTGTATTCCTACATTTGAAGTTCTTGTATTACATAAAATTGACTCTTGTGAGCTTTATGACATGTTTAGGGTGACCAGATGTCCCTATTGACCCGGGACACAGTTTTGAGCCCTGTGTCCCCTGTCCCAGCAGATTTATCCAAAACCAGTGATTTGGCTCAGTTTTATACAAGAAATGTCCCAGGTGTCCCTATTTTTGACCAATCTGATCCCTGCCAACAGTAAAGAGAGACATAAATTGTAAAAAAACAGAAAAGCTGCTTAAAAATGACCAAAACACAAAGAAAATATGACTATACTGACCCACATTAGAGCCGAGTGCAGAACAATTTTCCTTAATTATGCACTTGTTTCACAATTTTTTTTATTACCAACAAAACCAAAGCAGGGATGTCCCAGTTTAATTTTGAAAATCTGGCTACCCTAGACATGTTATAATGTTGTTACCTCATCAAAAACATAACCTGGAGCTACCTTTTTACTTTTTCGTCAGTAGAGATTGGCAATTTCAGGGCTGAATAGGAATTTTAGAAAGCACAATATTATTAGACTTGAATTTCATAGAACTAGCAACCAGAAATCACAGTCTTTTGTTAATAGAATGAAAATGTGAAATCAAATTTGTGGATGTGATGTTTTTGTGTCCAGCCCACACCAGTGATCCTGCTGAAGGAGGGGACAGACACGTCCCAGGGCGTCCCCCAGCTCATCAGCAACATCAACGCCTGCCAGGTACTGCACTCTGTCACTACTACTACTACTGCCACTACTGCCATTACTACTACTACTACTACTACTACTACTACTACTGCTGCCATCACTACTACTACTACTACTGCTGCCATCACTACTACTACTACTACTGCTGCCATCACTACTACTACTACTACTACTACTGCTGCCATCACTACTACTACTACTACTACTACTACTACTACTACTGCTGCCATCACTACTACTACTACTACTACTACTGCTGCCATCACTACTACTACTACTACTACTGCTGCCATCACTACTACTACTACTACTACTGCTGCCATCACTACTACTACTACTGCTGTCATCACTACTACTACTACTGCCACTACTGCCATTACTACTACTACTACTACTACTACTACTACTACTACTGCTGCCATCACTACTACTACTACTGCTGTCATCACTACTACTACTACTGCCACTACTGCCATTACTACTACTACTACTACTACTACTACTGCCACTACTGCCATTACTACTACTACTACTACTACTACTACTACTACTACTACTACTACTACTACTACTACTACTACTACTACTACTACTACTACTACTACTACCTACTACCACTATACTACTACTACTACTACTACTACTACTACTACTAGCCATCACTACTACTACTACTACTACTACTGCCACTACTGCCATTACTACTACTACTACTACTACTACTACTGCCATCACTACTACTACTACTACTACTACTACTGCCATCACTACTACTACTACTACTACTACTACTGCCATCACTACTACTACTACTACTACTACTACTGCCATCACTACTACTACTACTACTACTACTACTACTACTACTACTACTACTACTGCCATCACTACTACTACTACTACTACTACTACTGCCATCACTACTACTACTACTACTACTACTACTGCCATCACTACTACTACTACTACTACTACTACTGCCATCACTACTACTACTACTACTGCTGCCATCACTACTACTACTACTGCTGCCATCACTACTACTACTACTACTGCCATCACTACTACTACTGCTGCCATCACTACTACTACTGCTGCCATCACTACTACTACTACTGCCATCTCCACTACTACTACTGCCATCACTACTACTACTACTACTACTACTACTACTACTACTACTACTGCCATCACTACTACTACTACTACTGCCATCACTACTACTACTATTTCTTCTACTACTTCTTCTGCCATCACTACTACTACTACTACTACTACTACTACT